TCCCATAGTTATTGATACATTCAGATTTCCTAGTTTTTCTGGGGTGAGTTTGGTAAATTGGACAGCACAGTGACCAAGAGGACCGCCCACGGATGGGACTGCCCTTCTCCAACTTTGCTCCCAGCACTTACTCTCCCTGCGGCTTCGGGCAGGTGGGAGCTTGGGGCTCCTGGGGACCCACAGGGGTGCCGCCACTTTACTTTCAGCCTCCAAGGAGTCCCCTTCCTGTTCTTGTTTTTTCCCCCGCGTTCCTACTGGTTTGTTCGTTCCGCAGTGGGAAGGTTGTTGGATTTTTTGCTGCCATACTGCAGAGATAGAAGCCCTGGTCCCTTTTTGTCTGGATGCAAGACTTTTTCCAGGAGTGTTTCCCCAGAAGTGGCACCTGGGAGGTGCATTTTCTGAGGCCTTAAAGGCCTATCGTGTTTCTTCACTCCCCCGACGCGGTCGATGGATGGGCGGCGTGTAGCCTTTGAGGGATGCTATTCTTTTCCATGGAAACTCTAGATGTCCTGGGACTGTCAGTTAGCTGGTGGCCCTGGCAGGTGGTCAGCCACCCCAATTTGGTTCATTTTGCGTCCGGAAGCCTGCAGGAGATTTTTCTCTCCCCTTGGAATCCGGAACTTTCTGTGTGATGTGGCTCGGTTGCCATCTTGTGGGTTTTCCTTCCCAGAACTCAGTGTTCCCTTTTCTTCTGATGCCATCTGTCTTTCTAGAGTGTGGGGACAGTTCCTCCTTGCCTCCCTCGGGGCTGCGTCTGCTCCCTCCCCTCCACGTCTTTTGTCCTTTGCTCAGAAGCTGGGAGACCTCCAAAAGTCAGCCCCTGATTGATTAATTTTTTCATCAGTGTCTGTTTGCTTCCATAATTGTTTAAAATTTCCACTTCCATACTTTTTGCTAAAAGAGTTCCATACTTTTCTCTTGCAAAGCAGACTATTCCTATTTTTCCACGCACATTCCTCTGGCCTCTCCCCAGACGACAGAGTCCGCTGTTTTGAAGGTTTGATGCCTGTTCTCAGGCTGTTTTCGAGGCACTGGGCCTGGCGATTTCCCCTGCCTGGTCCTCTGTCGCCTGATATGAATCATAGTTTATTGTTGACTCATATTTACAGGATGTTTGATTGATGATATGAAGTTGGTTCTGTCCCTCCAGCCAACTCCTGGGAGCCACGTTCAAATGGTCAGGAGGCTGTGTCCATGCGTGGGAGGAGATGGAGGCCCCGGTTGAAGGACAGTGCTCACAAATGCCCAAGAGGGAGGGGGTCTGACCTGTAGGGGATGGGCAGGACCCACCAGGGCAGGGGGCAGCTGTCAGCTTCTCCACCACTGTGCTCATTACCATTCTTCTCTATCTGGCTCATCCCCCGACCTCAGCCTGCCCAGGAGCCCAGGAATTGAGGGGTCTTTCTTTTAAGGAAGGAAGGAAGGATGTGTGGACAGATGGATGGACGGTGGATGGATGGATGGAAGGACAGAAACAAGGAAGAAGGAAGGAAGGAGAAAGGGTAGATGCGTGGATGGGTGGAAGGATGGGTGGGTGGGTGAGTGGGTGGGTGGATGGATCATGGATGGAAAGAGGGAAGGAAGGAAGAAAGGAAGGAAGGAAGAGTAGATGGATGGATGGAAGGAGTGAGGAAAGAAGGAAGGATGGATGCACGGGTGGATAGATGGAAGGACGAGTGGGTGAGTGAGTGGGTGGGTAGATGTGTGGACGGTAGGTGGGTGGTTGGATGTGTGGGTGGATGAATGGGTGGACAGTTGGAAAGCCTTATAATAAAGCCTTCCCCCTTCAGCTCACCCTGCCTCACTTTCTGGAGATTTTTCGTTGATGTTTCTTTCACTCCCTGTGTTGGGACTATGGGATATGGAGTCAGATAAGCCCCTTTGCTGCATAGCACTGACAGCCTGGTGTGGGAGAGAGCAGGAAAGGCCTCCCTCCGTCCAGCTGCTGCTCTGCAGCTCCGCCTGCCCCCCTCCCCAACTAGGCAGGCCGAGGTAGAGAGCAAACCACAGGCAGAACCCACGCATGCACAGGCTTTCAGGTGGCTCCTCTAGGCGGGAGGCAGTCCTGGGCCCCAGCTGTTTTACATTTGTTGCCGAGAAGGCTGCCCATGTCAGCAGACATGGCTGGGGTCAGGGTGACATCAAGGGGGCTGGGGCCCTGAGGCTCTCGGTCAAGAAGACTAATGAACCTGCCACTCTTTTCTACCAGAGCCCTGGGCCCCCGTGGGCGTGCAAAGCTAACCCTGAAACGCACCACGACGGGGGGACGGCCCCTGGCGTTCTCGGCTTTTCAGGGACGATACTGTATTTCCCCTCGGAGGGTTGGCGCAGCTCGTATATCAAAAACTGGAGTAATTATTTCCTCCCACTGAGGAAGGCTTCCATTTAGCTTTCTCTAGCTGCCCCCCCTTATTAATTATCTAATTACAACCACATTCTCCGAGAGAGCAGCCTTTGACTTTCTGCCCAGGACCACTTAGAATGGCTGACATATTTGGAGCACTCTGAACTTGAAAAAAAAGAAGTGTGTGTGTGTGTGTGTGTTTCCGTGCATGTGAGTTTTAGGGAAAATGTGTGTTAGCCTTTTCAGGTCTTTGTCTTGATGCAGCAAAGGTTTCTAGAGTTCCCTGAGGAGCTAGGTTCAATGTGGAGGGAGCCGGGGCCATGGGCAACGGAAACACACGCTGCCTGCTGCCCACTGCTGAGCAGCTCCAGGCTCACCACCCACACTGACACACACACACACACACACAGACACACTCTGCTGAGGATGTCACCCAGCGCCCTGTCAGAAATCCTTCTGGGCCTTTCCTCATCCCATCTCATGACCTGGGGCGCCTCTCCTTGACCTCTTTCCCCAGCAGCAAATTCCTCACGGTGCCCCATCCAGCAGCTTCCTCCTGGGTGAAGCCATTCCTGACTCCCTCCTCCCTCCCCCAGCCCTTGTTGCAGACCTCGACTGTCTCAGCACTTAGTCCACAGCCAAGAGAGCCTTTCCAGCAGCTGCCCTGCCCCCCGGGGCACCTCTAGGGTGAGGACACGTCTCCCCCACATCAGTTTAGCCCCGGTGGCAGGGTGGGCCTGGCACACAGCGGGCCCTTAGGGGATTCTCCATGAACGGACTTGCCTCCTTTGTGTTCTGAAGGTTGTCTGGTTATTGACGTGTTTGTTCACCAGACGTGGAAGTGAGTGCCACGTGCATCAGGCCCTGGGATGGGCACTAAAAATACCAAGGGACCCAAGGCACCCACTGGCCCGTCTTGGAGAATCTGCAATAAAGTTCAGAGTTTCCTGGGAGGATAATGCCGTAAATTTGGGATTGGTTGCAAGCTGGCCGGGTGTGCTGTAGGACGGGGGTCCTGCAGGGCTGGGCAGTCAGCAACCTGCAGCCCCAGAACAGTAGGTGATAGGCCAGAAGTTGCCCTAGCCATGAGTTGCCGCCTTGGAGCAAGGTGGGGGGCCCCCCTGTCCTCACCCTCAGTACCTTCAGCCTCCAGGTGGAGGACCTGTCCAGCACGTCTAGAAGCCCTTGACCAGCTATTCATGCCCAGCGACGTTTTCCCTGTATCCCTGTGGTCCCCACCACCGTGACTTACGACCTTGGGCTAGCATAGCAGAGTCACTTTCAAGTCTGGCGATCAGACACCCAGGCCTGAGCTTCTTTCCAGCATGTCTTCTCTAGCGAGCCTTGTGGGCACAGACGGCAGCTCGTGAGGTCTGGGAGGCCCCACCTGCTGGATCCCTCCTGCACGTGCCCAGCATCCCTCCACCAGGTCTGCTGTCTTAAACCCCTCCCTTTCGGCAACAAGCTTCAGTCCCAACCACACCTTCAGTATGTGGGAAGGCAGGGGTATTTCAGGCAGAGCACCTGGCCCTTGTCAATCAAATTGACTCCAGACCTTCTGGCGGAGTCCCATGGCGCGAGGCGGTGGAGGTGCGAGGTGGTGAAGGTGGGACGAGAGGCTGTAAGTAACCCCTGGGAAGGGTCTTTCACCAGGCTGCTCTGCAGAACGAAGACGGCAAACTGGGGGCCGGAGGCAGGTCTGGCCACAGCCACATCTTGATTGATGCGAGTGTGCTTTACAGATCAATTACATGAGCTCGGGGGCCTTGTGGTGACGGGACAGCTGTGCATCTTGATGGTGACACAGGATGCTGGGATCGACACGTGATGAAATGGCCTGGACCTGCACACAACACACATACTACACACACACACCACACACATCACTACACACACCACACACACACCACACACACACACCACACACACACACATGCGCACACACACGAACACACGAGTGAAATGCGATGAGCTCTGGACTATACCGCTGTCGATTTGCTGGCTATGATACTGCACTAGACTTGTGCGGGATAGCACCACTGGGGGAGTTGGGGTGAAATGTACATGGGATCTCCCTGTACGTTTTTTTCCAACAACTTCCTATGAATCTACAATTATTTCAAAAGCACAAGTTAAAAAAACAAAAATCCCCCCTTGACAGCTCGTGCCCCAGCGGACGCCCCATTTCTCTGCATCCTCACCTCCCACCCCTCTCATCCCTCCACAGGTGGGCTTTGCTTTCCCCCGCCCAAAGTCCCAGCGGCCGCCTCACTGACACTCCTTCACCTCAATGGTCAGGGCTGGTCCTCTCTACGGGACCTGCCCAGGGAGCCGCTCACCCCCACGGTCAGCACGCAGGGGTCTGCAGAGACCACTGGGGAGAGGCCATTGGCGGGCGCTTAAGGCAGGAGATTGGGGTCCTTGGGGGCTGCGAGCAGCAGGAGAGGGCCCCTGGGGGCAGTGGCTTGCAGACTCCTGTGGCCCTGGCACCTGTTTCTGGGGGGAGGACAGGGAAGATGCATGCATAAGATCCTGCCTGCTGTCTGCCAGCACCTGTGCCGTCAGCCTCAGGGGTCCCTCGATGAGAGAGGCCCCGTGCCCCCCGGATGCCCAGGGACGCAGCGGCGTCTCAACCTCCCTCTTCCTTGTCTTCCAGACTGTCCCGCGGGGCTGAGGCGCAAGTGGACTTGGGATGCGTCCAAGTCTGTAACTTCTGCAACCTGAACAACCTCAAGGCAGCCTCCCACCTCTGCTCTCCAGCAAAACGTTCAGATGAGGGGACAGCGGCAGCCTCGAACGGAAGACCCGGCCTGCGCAAACTCCTCCCCCAGAGACGGTCCCCACAGAGCAAGTGGCACTTACGGTCCGTCTTGCCGGTGACATGCTCATTGTCCTTCTCGCCACTGTTTGGATTTTTCTTCTGAGTTTTATTTGTTTGTTTTTTTTTTGTGGGGGGGGGGAATTATTCTTTCTGAAAAATCTCTAGATTCAGGAACCCATTTAAGAGGATTGGGATTTTGGGTTTGTATTTCCCTCTACGTGCCTTTTTTAATGTATATTTTTTTAATAAAACAGAGATGCATTCCTGTACAATTCTGTTTAAACTGGACCAAGGCTCTCAGATAAAGAACCTCACAGTCCCTTGCTGCCCCCAAACCTCTGCATGATCGTTTCAAGTCAGCCTGGAATTCTGCTCACACCTCTGCCCTTTCTCTTTCTCCGTGATTCGCTCAGCTAACCTTTTTTTTATATATATATATTTTCTGTTTCAGTGTATATGTTGCTTATTTGTTTTATTTATTGAGATATTTTTAACAAGCTCAGTGACTGCAATGTGGCTATGTATACTGCTCCCCCTCCCAGAAACAATAAAGATGTGCGTGCAGCCCCGATCTCCCATCTCTTCTCTTCTCTACTTCACGGCATGAGAAACGGCCCGAGAAAGTTGGAAACGGTCACAAAAATGACTATCGTTTCACTTTAAAGGGGATGAGAAAGGATGTGAGACATTTTATGCCACACATAAACTTTCTAGAAGTTTCTAGAACTTTCTAGAAGCTACCAACTCTAATGTGGTTGAGAGTGTTAACAGACCCAGGCCTGGAAAGCAGGTGAGGTTGGCCTTAGCCCCTTCTATGGGCCCATCTTCTCAACTACTGCCTCCTCCTACAGATTATGCTCTCCAGACCAGTTCCTGTTCTTTAGGTCAAGACTTGCCCATCCTGCGTCCGTTCTCTGCTATCCAATGCCAGCTCCACAGAGCCTTGCCCACCCCAGGTTGAATTCCTAACTCTCCCCAGACATGACATTCATGTCTGGCCTTCACCCTTCTCCAAATGGGTCGCAGGCTGTTCTGAATACGTCCAGCCCCTGTGTTGACCGTGAGTTCACATGCAACTGCCCAGACCCCAGAGCCTTGTAGACACAGCGGGGTGACATTAATGAGGGAGCACTTGCCTGTACATGTAAGGGTGGAGCCCTTGCTCGGAAACCCCAGAAAGGCATAGTCTGCAGCCGAGGAGAATCTGGCTGGGGTCTGGTCCAGGTGGGCAGGAAAATAGGGCAGACACATCTCCATGAGGGGCAGGGAGTCCCACATCCCACCTGCTGGCCTCCTTGCCATGTCCGTGGACACTGATGGTGGTTGTAGGTGGCCCCCAGGTTGAGGGTTTCCAGCTGGAGAACTACAAGTCACCAGGGCACCACCCTGAGCCACCAGAAGCATGTCTCCTTGGGGACATCTGCTACCAGGGTATGTTGCATGGAGCCCACGGATGAGAGGCCACATAGACCCCACGCAGCTTCCAGACAGGATTCCAGGGAGTGGGGTGTGTCTGGAACCACTGAGGAGGCCTGGGAACCCTCTTTCTTCACTCCTACTCCTGCTCCCAGGCCCTACGGGAAGGGCGGGAGCCCCGAAACGCCAACTTGACCCCAACTTCCATCACCGGGCTGGCTGCTAGGAGACCCCTTTGCAGCGCAGCATCCCTTGGGGCTGGCACCACCTCGAGGGTTCCTGTGTATGTGTCTGGGGCTTGGTGTCTGCAGCATGAGCCCCAGGACCCACTGCACGCGACAAACACACCCAAATAGGCACACAGGTACACACCCAGCCACATGCGTGCATACGCACACCTAAACTCTTTGCAGAGGCCTTGGGGGGACAGAGCTGGGCAGCTGTGGTCCTGGTGGTGACAGTCTGCTCCTGCCCTGTGCTGTCCTGCAGGGTCCAGTAGAGGCCTTTGGAGAAAATGGCACGTCTCCTTTAAGTGAATCAAAAGAAAAACCAAACCAAATCAGACCCCATCCAACCTACAGATGGGATGGCCGTAAAGAGCAGCCTTCTTGATTTCCGAACTGTAAAATTCATGCTTCCTCCTCCCAGAGCTGGAGCCCGTGCCTGGTTCGCCTGTGGAGTGGCCGGCCCTGGGTCTCACTGCGGGTGACCAGGCCTGTGAGCTGCCCACACGCAAGCCCAAGGCAGGGGCTTGGCCAGGTGTGACCACAGTGGGGGGCGAAGGACCCTTGCAAGTGAGGAGACACCTGGCTTCTCATGGGAGAGTCAGAGATGGAGTTCTTGGGGCTTCAGGCAGGGGACCTCAATGCCAAAGTCCAAGAACAGAACTGAAGTCGTATCCCGGGACCTAGGACCCTTTTCCTCTCACCCCAGTCCCCATTCCATACCCGGTCACAAATACACTCAAAAGGAGCCTCACTTCCTCCAGGCTTGGCCCCTGCCCCGTCCCCACCCGCTAGGTCGATGCATGGCCCTCCCTGGGTGTCACTGAGCCAGTGCCCACTCCCAGCCCACCTGCCCATACTCCTAGGTCTGCATGTCAGGGCGCCATCCTCCCACCAGCCCCGGGCCTCTCCTGGGGATTCCCCTATGGATTTATCTCCAGCTCTGAAACCAGCCACTGACCTTGAGTTGCATGGAAATTTGTAGCTGTGAATAGTGGGTCTTCTTCCCATTCCCACCCACACACCTTCCAAGGCGAGGACGCGAGAGAGCGGCTGGGCGTCCTGGAATATGTATGTGTATGTACGCGTGCGTATACCTATGTATGTTTGCATGGACATTCTCTTGTAACCCACTGTTGGGTCCAGGAGATGGGAATGTGGGCTCCAGTTCTGCACGGGGGCTCCTCCTCGCCCAGGATTGAGTGGGGGCCACTTACCTGTGGTGGCATCTGCTCTGGGTCTCGAGGCTGCTCCCCTGGGGCTGCCAGGAGCCTTGGCAATCGTGGCCTCGAGAACTCTTTGCAGGGCCCTCGTGTGCAAACACTTACAGGACACGCCTGCAGTCAGATGACCTGTGAGTCCCCACGATGGGGGAGATGCTCTGAGCCACAGGAGCTCTCAGAAGAACAGCTCATCCCAAACCCACCCCACTTCCTACCCCACATTCACGGGGAGCCCCACGGAGCCCGCTGAGGAGAAGAGAGCTGGCAGGCTGGGCAGGTCCGACCCAGGGGAGCCTGGGGGCAGACATGGGAGGTGGGGGCCCTGGTGGAGCAGCCGGGACTGGCAGGACCTCCGTGCCCAGCAGTGCTCCAGCATCACAGAGCAGCCTTGAGGGAGGGTTTGGACTTAGACCCAGCGGCGTGCATGCCACACAGAGAAGAGACCACACCGTGGGCGGGGGGGCTGTTCCTCTGCAGGATCCCAGACTCCAGAGATTAAACATTTTCCTGGGCCGGAGCACTGGCCAACACCAGCAAGGTTCAATATAGAGGTCTTGCTTCTTGCTTTCAAAAGCAACTGCACAAACAGCAGGTGGGGGCCCACGGGTCCCGGCTGTCAGAACGGAAGCTCTGGAGGAGCCCAGAGCCTCATGAGGCTGCCACAAAGCCAAGAGAAACCCTGCCACCTGAGTGGGCACGTGGCGTCCAGAGAAGCCAGCCATGGTCCCCGCCTACCTCTGAGTGACACACTTGGAGGGGGTCGTGGACGGCCCTGAGCATCTCAGGAGAGGAACAGCTGGCCTTCCCTGGGAGATGAGGCTGTCTCTGAGAAGCGGGGGGCGTGCGTTGGCCTGATGGGGACTCTGGCTGTTTGCAGAGGGCCCTGTGGAGAGGCGACAGCCTGGAGCGCGGCCTGTGTGGCGTTTCTCCTGCTGCACCGTGGGGCTCCCGAGAAAGGTGTGTCCCTCACAGACACAGTCACCTTAGCTATTCCTTGCACATATTCCCATGGCGTGAATGCATGGACCCAGGCAATCCTCCAACTGACACCCTAAACCCACAGACTAAAACAAGGGCCTGCGGGCGTCCTCAGCGGGCCGTGCCTGCAAGAGGAGGGCACCAGGGAGAGCAGGGGGGCGGCTGTCTGCCTGGGGCCCTGCCTGCATCCTACACCCCTGACCGAGTCTTCACCCACACTTCTGCCTCCCACTTGAACCCTTTAACTTGGGGCAAGATGAGTCTGGCCGTGAGACAGAGAGCTCCTCAGCTCTCTGCACATAGACCACCCAGCTCACCGCCCCACACAGGACGGGGCCTTCAGGGGACCCTCAGCAGCCTCCCAGGCCGCCTGAGCTGCAGAAGCCATGCCAGGGCAAGGAAAGGCCTGTGGAGCATAGAGATGCACTGACAACCTCACAGAATTGAGTGCTAGTACTTGATGCGCGAAAGGACGGTGAGGCCCCCAGAGGCAGGGGTCCACTCTGACCCCCAGCCAGTAGGAAAACTCTGCAGTGTCCTTTGCCTGAAGGAAGCGGAGAGCAGTCTGGGAGAGTCCATAGCTCCAGGGTCTTTACCAACATTCGGTGTTTTCTCCGTGCCAGGCTCTTTGCCTGGGTGTGACCACACTGCCACACTGCCCTGCTTCTCGGTCCCTCATCCTCCAATGGACTTGACTTTCCTTCTCAAGCCCCAGTCTCCCTGTGACGAGGTCCCCTGTATCCATTCCCGGACCTGCTTGCTGCCAAAGCTGGATCTGTCCTCACTGAAGAAAACTCTTCGTCCTGACCCGGGCTGCCAGTCAAATGTGTTATGGGCTGAAGTGTGTCCTCCCCAGATCCACATGTTATAGTCCTAACGCCCAGCCCACTGAGTGTGGCCGTATTTGGAGACAGGGCCCTTGCAGAGGCAATCATGTCAAGGTGAGGTCACCAGGGTGGGTCCTCATCCAACAGGACTGGTACCCTTGTAAGAAGGGATTAGACCCAGAGAGAGGGATGCCGTGTGAGGACACGGGGAGAAGACGGCCGGCAGTAAGGCAAGGAGAGAGGCCTGGAACAGCCCCACCTCCCCACGTCCTCAGGGGGAACCAACCCGGCTCACCTCTTGACCTGGGGCTTCCAGCCTCCGGACCTGAGAGGGCACACGTTTCCGCCGTTGAAGCCGCGCAGTGAGCGCTGGTCTAGACAAAGCGCTAGAGCCCCCTGGCCAGGTGTTTGCTTTTTTCAGGAATAAAATGAGGGAGAGAAATGAGTCTGGAAATGCAAGGAACTCACGGGGTTGGCCTTTCTTCTCGAGACTGCAAATGCCTGGAGGGCAGAGCGTTGGGTTCCCGTCAATCACAGCCTGTGGTGGAGCCACTGGAGGGAAGGTGTAGACGAGGAGGACAAAGATGGGATGACGATGTCAGCGATGACGACGATGTCAGCGATGACGACGATGTCAGCGATGACGACAATGTCAGCGATGACGATGATGTCAGCGATGATGATGATGTCAGTGATGAGGACAACTGGGTACCTGGACAGGGGTGTGGCTTCCTGGTCCCCCTGATGGCGCTGACCATGAGGTTATCCATGGACACAAAGGAGAGTGGCCTACCAGCACCCCCTCCTGCCACCTCATCCCCCCCCCTGCGGGAGGGGAGGGGGAATGCCTCACACCCTCCCTGTGAGCACGTCCCTCTCAGACAGCCGTCCTCCACGGAGACT